ATGAACGATTAGGTGTAAAAGTACATGTATTCATATCTGCTTGTATGTATGTGTGTGTGTGTGTTTACGTTAGCTTGTACCATATATTTTATAATGGCTTCGGTTTGGGGCTATGCCTGCGGATGATATGTGGCTTTTGCAAGTTGGCTTAACTTTGCGGTCTTAAACAAGGAAATCCTTTTTCGTCTGGTTTCTACTCGACTCGTTGTTGTTGCTGTTATTTTTTCTATTCACTTTGTTCCTCTTGTTGCCATTTTTGTTATTATTCCAAAGTCATTCAATGTTAGGATGAGAACAATGTAAACGACCAGTTTAAATAAGTTCGGATTGTACGTCTTCGCCATTGTTGATCTCGTTGTTGTGCTTTACTGGTCGATGCTATGACAAAGATGGTCAGTCTTTTATGAACACAACTTGGCTAACGACACTCTGATGGACATAAGTGGTCGGATGGTTGAGTATAAATGCGTGTGTGCCTGTGTGGTTCTGTTTACATAGATTGGTTTCTATGATATGTCTACGTTATGAAACATTCTATGAATGAATGGTAAAAACCACCAAATGACCTCAACCAACTACAACAATATTAATTTTATGTATGTGTGTGTGTGTGTATGTCGGTAACATTTCCAGTTGATTTTTATATGTAATGGATCATGTTATGGTTTTGAATTTATTTGAAAATAATATTTGTACAATGCATTAAATGTGTCGGGATGGGTACTTGATGTCCGAACATCAAGTGTGTGTTGGTATATCACTTGAAAAGTGAGATATTTGTACATTTTACAGTTGTAGTACTTTATTTGGAGTTATTTTTTTTTTTTTTTTTTTTTGATGGTTAGGAAATGTCACTACAATACATTTTACTATACCTCACACATATATACGTACATACATAAAAGTGAGGTATTATTTAATCCCGTTTGCAATACATTCTTCGGAGACCCCATAAACGTGTGTATTTTAGATTAGATGAAACTTCCAAGTCGATTAAACACCTTTCTGTTGAGATCGCAGAATTTAAGAATGAACCTTGAAATGCTGCTCATAAATATCCACCAAATTCATAATTTGTGGTATTACACAAATGAGCTTAGGGATTTAAAAATCCACGCCTGTAGTGGACCTTGAAAAATATTCTTTAAAAATCCACGCCTGTAGTGGACCTTGAAAAATATTCTTTAAAAATCCACGCCTGTAGTGGACCTTGAAAAATATTCTTTAAAAATCCACGCCTGTAGTGGACCTTGAAAAATATTCTTTAAAAATCCACGCCTGTAGTGGACCTTGAAAAATATTCTTTAAAAATCCACGCCTGTAGTGGACCTTGAAAAATATTCTTTAAAAATCCACGCCTCTAGTGACCTTGAAAAATATTCTTTAAAAATCCACGCCTGTAGTGGACCTTGAAAAATATTCTTTAAAAATCCACGCCTGTAGTGGACCTTGAAAAATATTACAATATGGTACTATATTTAGTACAAATTTAATTTGGGGATACAAGTCGAGCGGGAATCCTGGAATTTGAAATTAAAATCACCGTCGGAGTGTAGGATGGTATATGAACGTAGTTTTGGAAAATTTGTTACTTATGTGTACGAAAAGTACTAAATCGTACTATAATTGCTACAATTTGGATTTGGGTGAACCGATAGATCGGGAACAATAAAATTTAGAGTCAGGATTAATGTAGGGGTGTAGGATTGGGTCAGGATTCAATTTAAGAAATTATAACTTATAGGTACTAAATGGTACTAAATTTGGTACAATTTTAATTTTAGGTGAACCAATAGAGCTAAAATCATAAAATTTGTAGTCAGAATCACTGCTGAGGTGTAAGATTGATTCGTACTACTGCATACTAAATTTGGTACAATTTGAATTGTAGGGGAACCGATAGAGTTGGAATCCTGAAACCCATAGGATCACTGTGGGGGTGTAGGGTTGAGGTATGTAGAAAGTTTTGGAAATTGGTACTACTATGTACTAAATTTGGTACAATTAGAATTGAGAGTGAACCGATAGAGTTGGTATCCCCAAACTTGGATTTAGGATCACTGTGGAGGTGTAGGATTGGGGTATGTAGGAAGGTTTGGAAATTGGTACTACTATGTACTAAATTTGGTACAATTTAGAACTGTGAGAGTGAACCGATAGAGTTGGTATCCTCAAACTTGGATTTAGGATCACTGTGGAGGTGTAGGATTGGAGTATGTAGGAAGTTTTGAAAATTGGTACTACTATGTACTAAATGTAATACAATTTGAATTGTGAGTGAACAAATAGAGTTGGAATCCTGAAATTTCAAAATTGTGGGGGTGTAGGAAGGATCTGGATATGAAGAAAACAAGATAAATTATAACCCCATATCAGATTACGCCGTCACACATTTGAAACAATGGTCAAAAACATTTTGAATTCTGTTATGTAGTTGTTGTTGTTAATTTTTTCTTTGCAGACTTATCCAATTAAAAGACAGGTATTTAACTACAAAAGGTATTTAACAACAACTACAGCCAGTAACCGCACATGCAATGGATGAACCATGTTTGTTGTCACTAGATAACAACATGTTTGAAACCTTGTTATAAAACATATCCTCTTTCTAATCTAATTTTTTGACCGCAAATATTTTACAAAAATTTCAGTCATAAGATTGTAGATAGAGCCCCATATACAAGAAATTGATATTCGCATGTTTTCATCGCGTTTTTCCTCTTTCACCCAATCCTTGTTCCTTGTTTGATATGTTAAATGCCTGTAGGTGGAGACCAGAGAGAGCCTTGATAGTTCGCGATCTTAGAATCTAAAATACATCCTCATATTTTTTAGGTATTTTAAAGATCATTTCAGAATTGTTCCAACTAATTTGATCATAGTATAACATTTCGGGTTCTAATGTATCAAATAACTCCTTACAAAAATTGTCAATATACAATTGGTTCGATATAACCAGAAACCGTTGAATCGATCGATTACTTTTTCCACCATACCTTGAAAATAAAATACATTAACTTTAAGTCAGTTTTTCGAGCTTAATGATCGAAGTTTTGCAATGAAAAGGAAAACCAGGGAATGAAAGTTTGGCCATATTTGGTATACTCCTAATGACGTTATGTTTAAGGATTAGCCAAATTTTCTAATCTGAGTTTTTAATTTATTATTTCGTTTTCTTAGAGGACTAAAAACCTCCTGGTAGCAATTTTTTATGGTATATGTTCCATATAAAGGTACACAGTGATTTAAGGCATTGTGAGTTATTATCTTATGGTAAAGAGGATGCGCGCCCATTTAAAATATTTAGGTGTATTTTTAAACTCCACTGGCTGTAGTTTAACAATCTAGGTTCGTGGTGGGTGAAAAACATTGTTTTCATATATTTAAACATAAGATCATCCTAATTTCCGTATTTTAAGGTCGTAGCCGAATTGTTACCATTTTAAAGGTAGCTTCATAATGCCTCTCTCAAACGGTCCAGTTGTTGATAGTATAGATCAGAATTTCGCGTTTGGCCATATGGAAGCAACTCATAATAAATATTCCCCTTCCAGACCCACCAAAATCATAACAGAACTTTCCTGGCCGTTAGTCCTGGTTTGGCCACCGTTTGAGGTACTTCACCGCTTGTTTTTGATTCGCCAAGGCTTCGCTGATGGAGATTCGATCCATCCCATTTTGTTTGTTAATTGCTGTGGCACTCAAACATCGAGCTTCTTTTTGAATCCAGCTTTGTGTAAATTGTCTAACACAGTTTTATGGTCGATCTTTAGCTCCTGGTAGATGTTAAGACTGCTAACCTGCCGGTTGGCAGACCGAAAAATCTTCCCTCCCAAAATATAGTGACAAGGTCACCCCGTCTTATTAAAGACTTCCAATTTCATTGATCACATTTTGAAAATAATATTTTCAATTTTATGCTAAATAAAATCCCAGTAATACCAAAAACAAATGGTGTAACACTATTTTTATTGTGTGTGGTTGGCATGCAACACACAAACACACTCACACCAGCTATATAACCACGGGTAAACTCATTCACAGTAACATACACAGTATGTGTGTGGCGTATGAGATTTTCAAATTTTCTATTACGAAAAATTTCTACATGAATGATATTTGAAAACTGAGGACACCCAGGCGTGTGATGAGCGACCGACCGCAGCAGCAGAAACACTATCACAGCATGGTGAGCAAGCAAATGTTAGTGGTAAAGTCACGCTGGTGATGACGTCGTTGAATGGCAATATTGGATTTCGTGCAAAGTGTTATGGGAGTGTTCAAGGTATTCGTGAGTGAGGCAGTTGGCCGTTCATTGATGCCACCAACCGTTAAATAATGGGAATACTAACGCACACAACCTCTACCAATGACACTGGAACAATCACACATACACACACTTAGGGATATATGTTACGTTCCTACAAATATTTCTATCAATCTATCTATCGCGCGGTATTGATAACCTCCTCCTAACACTGAAATGCTGATGATGATGATGGCGGTGATGATGGGTGTGATTGTAATGGTAGTGGTGGTGTAACCTTATCTATTGCTATGCGAATGACTGTTTGGTTTATGGTCATATTCCGGAGTGTGAAATATGCAACGGCAGTAATAACATCACGATACCCCACCATCCCCGCTTTACCCACCTCCGAAGGACACAAATCTGATGACAGTATTTTTAAAATGACCTCGAAATCGATGACAAACAATAATAACACAAAAAAGGCGCGCAGCAATATGCGCGATGAAAATGTTTGGTTTGGTTCCATGGAAGAGTGTGTGTGCGTTTGTGTGTGTTTGAGTTACTACTAGTCCAGAGGCCAGTAAATCATCTTTTCATTTCATTTTGTGCGCCTTAATTGGAACCATAATGAGGACATCATTTGACCATGAATGAAGATACGCGTCGTTCAGTTTTTTCCTCCTCTTTTCATTTTGTGGTAGCTGTCGTGGTGGTCTGTCTTGTCGATTTTTGTGTACGAGAGGATTTCGTTGTATGTGTGTGTGTGGGTGCGGTATTTAGAGGTTTCCGTTGCGGTGGGTTAGCAGTATTCTCTTGGGCGCCAAAATGACATTATTTTCAAAATTGGACCAGTCCCTTAAAGATGAAATGGCATTGATTTCATTCAACTCTTTTTGGCATTTAATTAATCAATTTTTATTGGAGAAGAGATTGGCGGCCATTTGCATATCAAGGGAAAAATCTTGAAGGTGGGTGGTGTGACCCAACGAAAGCGTGGTGGGCACCAATTAAGTGTGGATGTTGAAAAAATTGTTTTTCAAGGGCTACAAAAGGTAGATTTTTTAAAGAATATTTTTAAGGGTTATAAGAGGCCTAATTTTATAAAGCAGACTTGTTTCCTACAATAGACGTGGATTTTAAAATAATTTTTTCCAAGGCCTACTACAAGGCGTGGATTTTTAAAGAATATTATCCCTAAGGGCTATACTAGGCGTGGATTTTTTAAAGAATATTTTTCCCAAGGGCTATACTAGGCGTGGATTTATTAAAGAATATTTTTTCAAGGGCCATACTAGGCGTGGATTTATTAAAGAATATTTTTTCAAGGGCCAACTGAGACATTTTTCAAGGGCCAACTGAGGCGTGGATTTATTAAAGAATATTTTCAAGGGCCAACTGAGGCGTGGATTTATTAAAGAATATTTTTCAAGGGCCAACTGAGGCGTGGATTTATTAAAGAATATTTTTCAAGGGCCAACTGAGGCGTGGATTTATTAAAGAATATTTTTCAAGGGCCAACTGAGGCGTGGATTTATTAAAGAATATTTTTCAAGGGCCAACTGAGGCGTGGATTTATTAAAGAATATTTTTCAAGGGCCAACTGAGGCGTGGATTTATTAAAGAATATTTTTCAAGGGCCAACTGAGGCGTGGATTTATTAAAGAATATTTTTCAAGGGCCAACTGAGGCGTGGATTTATTAAAGAATATTTTTCAAGGGCCAACTGAGGCGTGGATTTATTAAAGAATATTTTTCAAGGGCCAACTGAGGCGTGGATTTATTAAAGAATATTTTTCAAGGGCCAACTGAGGCGTGGATTTATTAAAGAATATTTTTCAAGGGCCAACTGAGGCGTGGATTTATTAAAGAATATTTTTCAAGGGCCAACTGAGGCGTGGATTTATTAAAGAATATTTTTCAAGGGCCAACTGAGGCGTGGATTTATTAAAGAATATTTTTCAAGGGCCAACTGAGGCGTGGATTTATTAAAGAATATTTTTCAAGGGCCAACTGAGGCGTGGATTTATTAAAGAATATTTTTCAAGGGCCAACTGAGGCGTGGATTTATTAAAGAATATTTTTCAAGGGCCAACTGAGGCGTGGATTTATTAAAGAATATTTTTCAAGGGCCAACTGAGGCGTGGATTTATTAAAGAATATTTTTCAAGGGCCAACTGAGGCGTGGATTTATTAAAGAATATTTTTCAAGGGCCAACTGAGGCGTGGATTTATTAAAGAATATTTTTCAAGGGCCAACTGAGGCGTGGATTTATTAAAGAATATTTTTCAAGGGCCAACTGAGGCGTGGATTTATTAAAGAATATTTTTCAAGGGCCAACTGAGGCGTGGATTTATTAAAGAATATTTTTCAAGGGCCAACTGAGGCGTGGATTTATTAAAGAATATTTTTCAAGGGCCAACTGAGGCGTGGATTTATTAAAGAATATTTTTCAAGGGCCAACTGAGGCGTGGATTTATTAAAGAATATTTTTCAAGGGCCAACTGAGGCGTGGATTTATTAAAGAATATTTTTCAAGGGCCAACTGAGGCGTGGATTTATTAAAGAATATTTTTCAAGGGCCAACTGAGGCGTGGATTTATTAAAGAATATTTTTCAAGGGCCAACTGAGGCGTGGATTTATTAAAGAATATTTTTCAAGGGCCAACTGAGGCGTGGATTTATTAAAGAATATTTTTCAAGGGCCAACTGAGGCGTGGATTTATTAAAGAATATTTTTCAAGGGCCAACTGAGGCGTGGATTTATTAAAGAATATTTTTCAAGGGCCAACTGAGGCGTGGATTTATTAAAGAATATTTTTCAAGGGCCAACTGAGGCGTGGATTTATTAAAGAATATTTTTCAAGGGCCAACTGAGGCGTGGATTTATTAAAGAATATTTTTCAAGGGCCAACTGAGGCGTGGATTTATTAAAGAATATTTTTCAAGGGCCAACTGAGGCGTGGATTTATTAAAGAATATTTTTCAAGGGCCAACTGAGGCGTGGATTTATTAAAGAATATTTTTCAAGGGCCAACTGAGGCGTGGATTTATTAAAGAATATTTTTCAAGGGCCAACTGAGGCGTGGATTTATTAAAGAATATTTTTCAAGGGCCAACTGAGGCGTGGATTTATTAAAGAATATTTTTCAAGGGCCAACTGAGGCGTGGATTTATTAAAGAATATTTTTCAAGGGCCAACTGAGGCGTGGATTTATTAAAGAATATTTTTCAAGGGCCAACTGAGGCGTGGATTTATTAAAGAATATTTTTCAAGGGCCAACTGAGGCGTGGATTTATTAAAGAATATTTTTCAAGGGCCAACTGAGGCGTGGATTTATTAAAGAATATTTTCAAGGGCCAACTGAGGCGTGGATTTATTAAAGAATATTTTTCAAGGGCCAACTGAGGCGTGGATTTATTAAAGAATATTTTTCAAGGGCCAACTGAGGCGTGGATTTATTAAAGAATATTTTTCAAGGGCCAACTGAGGCGTGGATTTATTAAAGAATATTTTTCAAGGGCCAACTGAGGCGTGGATTTATTAAAGAATATTTTTCAAGGGCCAACTGAGGCGTGGATTTATTAAAGAATATTTTTCAAGGGCCAACTGAGGCGTGGATTTATTAAAGAATATTTTTCAAGGGCCAACTGAGGCGTGGATTTATTAAAGAATATTTTTCAAGGGCCAACTGAGGCGTGGATTTATTAAAGAATATTTTTCAAGGGCCAACTGAGGCGTGGATTTATTAAAGAATATTTTTCAAGGGCCAACTGAGGCGTGGATTTATTAAAGAATATTTTTCAAGGGCCAACTGAGGCGTGGATTTATTAAAGAATATTTTTCAAGAATATTTTTCAAGGGCCAACTGAGGCGTGGATTTATTAAAGAATATTTTTCAAGGGCCAACTGAGGCGTGGATTTATTAAAGAATATTTTTCAAGGGCCAACTGAGGCGTGGATTTATTAAAGAATATTTTTCAAGGGCCAACTGAGGCGTGGATTTATTAAAGAATATTTTTCAAGGGCCAACTGAGGCGTGGATTTATTAAAGAATATTTTTCAAGGGCCAACTGAGGCGTGGATTTATTAAAGAATATTTTTCAAGGGCCAACTGAGGCGTGGATTTATTAAAGAATATTTTTCAAGGGCCAACTGAGGCGTGGATTTATTAAAGAATATTTTTCAAGGGCCAACTGAGGCGTGGATTTATTAAAGAATATTTTTCAAGGGCCAACTGAGGCGTGGATTTATTAAAGAATATTTTTCAAGGGCCAACTGAGGCGTGGATTTATTAAAGAATATTTTTCAAGGGCCAACTGAGGCGTGGATTTATTAAAGAATATTTTTCAAGGGCCAACTGAGGCGTGGATTTATTAAAGAATATTTTTCAAGGGCCAACTGAGGCGTGGATTTATTAAAGAATATTTTTCAAGGGCCAACTGAGGCGTGGATTTATTAAAGAATATTTTTCAAGGGCCAACTGAGGCGTGGATTTATTAAAGAATATTTTTCAAGGGCCAACTGAGGCGTGGATTTATTAAAGAATATTTTTCAAGGGCCAACTGAGGCGTGGATTTATTAAAGAATATTTTTCAAGGGCCAACTGAGGCGTGGATTTATTAAAGAATATTTTTCAAGGGCCAACTGAGGCGTGGATTTATTAAAGAATATTTTTCAAGGGCCAACTGAGGCGTGGATTTATTAAAGAATATTTTTCAAGGGCCAACTGAGGCGTGGATTTATTAAAGAATATTTTTCAAGGGCCAACTGAGGCGTGGATTTATTAAAGAATATTTTTCAAGGGCCAACTGAGGCGTGGATTTATTAAAGAATATTTTTCAAGGGCCAACTGAGGCGTGGATTTATTAAAGAATATTTTTCAAGGGCCAACTGAGGCGTGGATTTATTAAAGAATATTTTTCAAGGGCCAACTGAGGCGTGGATTTATTAAAGAATATTTTTCAAGGGCCAACTGAGGCGTGGATTTATTATTGAATATTTTTCAAGGGCCAGAATATTTTTCAAGGGCCAACTGAGGCGTGGATTTATTAAAGAATATTTTTCAAGGGCCAACTGAGGCGTGGATTTATTAAAGAATATTTTTCAAGGGCCAACTGAGGCGTGGATTTATTAAAGAATATTTTTCAAGGGCCAACTGAGGCGTGGATTTATTAAAGAATATTTTTCAAGGGCCAACTGAGGCGTGGATTTATTAAAGAATATTTTTTCAAGGGCCAACTGAGGCGTGGATTTATTAAAGAATATTTTTCAAGGGCCAACTGAGGCGTGGATTTATTAAAGAATATTTTTTTTTCAAGGGCCAACTGAGGCGTGGATTTATTAAAGAATATTTTTCAAGGGCCAACTGAGGCGTGGATTTATTAAAGAATATTTTTTCAAGGGCCAACTGAGGCGTGGATTTATTAAAGAATATTTTTCAAGGGCCAACTGAGGCGTGGATTTATTAAAGAATATTTTTCAAGGGCCAACTGAGGCGTGGATTTATTAAAGAATATTTTTCAAGGGCCAACTGAGGCGTGGATTTATTAAAGAATATTTTTTCAAGGGCCAACTGAGGCGTGGATTTATTAAAGAATATTTTTCAAGGGCCAACTGAGGCGTGGATTTATTAAAGAATATTTTTCAAGGGCCAACTGAGGCGTGGATTTATTAAAGAATATTTTTTCAAGGGCCAACTGAGGCGTGGATTTATTAAAGAATATTTTTCAAGGGCCAACTGAGGCGTGGATTTATT